AAAACCAGCAGTTATTATTAAAAATACAACATCTATATATATATTACTATAAAATATTTATAAACTTTTAAATTTATTTTTGAAGGCACTTCATTCAATAGAAACTTATTTTTAAATCTCAGTCTTGATTACAACAATTTGCTGATTTATAAACAATACAATTTACAAAGCTTCTAATTTTTGAATTATCCAATTAAAACTCTCTCTTTTTTATCCCTCTCCAAAATGTCCAGCTTTTTGTTGGTTTTTTTTTGTTTTGTTTTATTGCTTTGCTTTCCGGCGTTTCATCAAAGTTGCTGTTACTTGTGTCACTGGTGGTTGCCATGGCAACAGCGTTTCTGGCTGCTGTGTGCTGCCCTGTATGTGTGTTTTACTTGTTTTACTAAACCTGTCCGCGCCGGGCTAGTTTTAAATCTGAGAAAAAAACTCTAAAAACTACAACTGCATGAACTCATAATTACTTAAAACACAAAATTAACTCCCAAAGGGTATATAAACACCTTTTAAAAACTCAATAAATCATGACTTTGTAACAAACTGGGTATTATCCCAGTGCTTCTTCTTAGAGAGGGAGTGGGGGGGGCGGGGTTGAACTGCCTGTTCTGCTGTTGTAGCTCTGCTCCCATCCCCCTTCACATTTTTTACTGTTTTTTCTTCTGAGGCTCTGACCCTTCGCCGCTCGTATCTCGATCAGAGTCAGAACTCAACTGGCTGGTTACTTCCTGTTTTCCGTGCCTTTTTCTTGGGCCCCAGCCCCACCTGCCACCCCTGTGGGCAGGCTGTTCCCTCCCTCCTGGTTCTCCATGCCTTTCATTCCACCCTCCACTCTGCCTTTCACCCCACCTTTCCCTCCGCCTTCTGCTCCCCCCTCCTCCCTTTGCATTCCAATCTCTGTGCCTCTGTACCCATCCCCCACGTCTTATCTCCTTCACTTCAGTTTCTCTTTCTTCTTCACATTCCTTTTCTCTCCCATCCCCCCGACTACGTTCCTCTTTCAATGCCAGCCTTTGTTCTTTGTTGTCACTTAAGATTTCACTTTCTCGCTGTATGTCTTTTTGCTCAGCACCATTTTTAGACACCAGGGAGGAGGCTTCTCTCCAGGCTTTTTCCACGGCACTCCTGGCTTTTTCTGTTAACTTTCTCCAAAAGTCTCTTGCTTTCTGTTGTTTCTTCCAGAGCACACAAGGATTTTGGGACCGAGGGGACTCCCGACCCCCCCTCGGCTCAGCCGAGCTTCTCCCATCTGGGGGCTGTAAAGCTCTGACCCCAAATTTCAGGGTAGCCAACATACAGTTCCTTGTTGCTCCCCAAATCCCTTTGGCAAGCGTTTTAGTACATCTGTCCCACACCTTAGGGTGGATAAACCTTACAAGCTGATTTACAACCTTAACAACCCAAAGCTTTGCGATAGCAAGCTAATTAGGTTTACAACTTAATTGCAATCTGACCTTTATCAGTGATTCCATCTTCCTTCTAGGCCCAGGATTTCCCTCGCCAAGATCAGTCCAGCTATCTTGGCCGCTGCTCGTGATCCAGGGTATCCTTGCTTTCTGGGTTTTTTCCCACTTTTCCTCCCGGGTTTCGGCACCATTTGTGGGTTTTCAAGCAAGGCAGGCACCCTGGCTAGAGCCAGCACGGGCGGCTATCCTCAGCCGCGCGGTCCACAACCCACAGCATCAATGTGATGGATGGCGAATATGGCATTTATTATAGGGGAATTTTACATTTTATAGCCTAGGGTCACTGTGTTACTCCCATCGGCTTACATCACACTTAGGTGCTATTGGCTAATTGCAAGAGGTTTTACTATCCTAGAGAGAGGGGTGGGTTACTAGCTTTCCGTTGCATCCCGAGTTCTTCCACACCGCAAGGCCTTAAATTACAACAATTGGTTAGTAAACTAACACATCACCATCATTGGTCAGTGGGGTACACCACTCCTCGACCCTCTCTTGCAAGAAAGCAAGAAACTGACAAACAGCGCCCACAAGGCTATTTTCTATCTCTGAGGATTGTTTTGACTCCTCCTTATGATTTCCCAGGCCACTTTCTCAGGTGAGACTGAGGAAGTTATGCAGCCTGCTTTTCCACAGGCACTATGCTCCCTACTTGCATTTAGCAACCATAGGGAGAGGCCCTACGAGTGTCCCGAATGTGGAAAGAGGTTTCGCACCAGCTCCCATCTCCTCATGCACCAGCGGATTCACAGAGAGGAGAGGCCCTTCCGCTGCCCCAGCTGCAGGAAGGGCTTCAAGCACAACTCCACCCTCATCACCCACTGGTGCATCCACACTAGGGAGAGGCCCTACAACTGTCCCCAGTGTGGGAAGAGCTTCTCCAGGAGCTCTAACTTGAACCAACACCAATGGAGGCACCACTAAGGGAAGCCCTGTGAGTGCCTCAAGTGCAGGAAGACCTTTGTGCACTGCCCCAACTCCATTCCCCATCAGAGGGCACATGTTGGGCAGAGCCCTGATGACCCACGTTCCCAGTGATCTGCATTGGGAACACACTGGGCTGGTGATCATTTTGTTCCAGTTCCAATTATCTTTTGATTCATCTTCATCCCTTTAAAACAGACAAAACTGGGGTAAGAACCAAAAAATTCATCAAAGGCATCTAAAGCCTCACTTTTTACTAGTGCTTCAAGGGAATCTGGGAATCAGGGAGATACATGGGAGGATTTGGGGGTTGGGGGGGTATTTTGTGTTGTTTCCATTTCTTGGCACTCAAAGAGACGAGAGGGTTTGATCTGTCACCTCAAAACCACTCAGTGCCACTGAAAACTACTCAATCCCACTCCAAAACAACTGCATTCCACAGCCCCTCAGGGTGTGATGCCTTAAGTTTTAGCTTTTGTATTTTTCTTATTTTGCACTGCCTAGGTTTGTAGTTTTGAACTTCATATCAAGTGTTAGTGAGCTCTCTTCACAGAGTAGGTAGACAAAACAATTCCTTTTCTAGCTTGATACCAAGGACAGTCATTACAAGTTTCAGGCCCAAAAGCATAAACGAGGGTAGACTGAAGAGAGAAAACGGGAAGGATGGGACTTCATCATCTGACGCTGTAATTGGACCATGAACCCAAATATGCAGATGGACCTAAACTTCTAGAAACGTGAGACCTCATGATCAGTTGTCCATTTTTGTGGCCATTTTTGGTCCATCTTGGGTATAGCCCTGGCCAGACTCTTGCACTTCCCAAGGTCTATCCTATAAAGTCCTTTTAATAAACTTTATTCTTAGTCTAGCCTCTGTTCTAGGTCAACCTTCTGAAGGCATCAGGTGGAATGGAGTTGGAAGGGCATTGGGCGAAGTGGGATGTAAATCAGGAGGGATGAGATGGGCATTGGGTGGGGCAGGATGGGTGGGATGGAGTTTGGGAGGTGTGAAATGGGGGAAATAGGGCTTGGGAAGGGGTTTGTGATGTCCAGCAGGGGTGGGATGGGTTGGGGTTGGGATTAGGGAGGTGGGGTGGAGTCTGCAATGAGACAGCAAAAGTTTGGGGATGATGAATGGAGGGGGAGCCCATTTCTGAGTGAGATTTTTGTGTGAGGTGCCCTTGCCCAGGGAGGCAGAGATTTAGTTTCAAATAACCATTGTTAAACTGAGAGGTGTGGGCAAGAGGGAATTCCATCCCTCTGCTTTGGAGGATGGGCCCTGTGAGCCCAGGAAGAAACTCCACCCTGGACCCCTCGTGGGGTGGCAACCCAGGGTGTTCTGATTGCATTTGAGCCCCTGGGGTTTCTCCCTTGCTGTGTTCCCAGTGGTCCCTGACCTTGAACTCCACCCTGGTTCTGTCCCTCAAACCCCATCACCCTGCCTCTGTTCAGTGCTCTCTGTCTCTGGATCTGAGTTTGTTCCTATGCTGAATAAATGGTTTCCTGAGCAGAACCCTGTCTCATTGGTGTCCCATGCTGGTTTCTGGTAATTGTAGACTCTCTGGACATGATCCTGTGGCCCCAGAACAAAAGATCCCATAAAATCAAGACCCCCCCAGACCCCCCAAAAATCCCAAAATTCCCTACAATTCACCCACATCTCCCAGAATTACCTTAATTTCCCTAAAATGCCCTTTTTGTCCCACTCTAGGACCAGCTGCCTCCACTGGATCTTGGAGACAGCCCCAGGAATTTGGAGGGGGTCTCTCCTCCCATGCCATCCCCAAAAACCTGCTGCTTTTGGGAAAAATATTCCCAAAAATCCCTTGGATTCAAGGGGGAGTTCCCCCATTTTTGACACAGCTTTTGGGGGTTCCCCCCCTAATTTTTCAGTGTTTTTTGCATTTTTTTGCCAATTTTTGGTGGTTTTGGCATTTTTCAAAGTGAGCTTTTTCTGGGGGGGGGGGTCCCCCAATTTTTTAAGGGACTCTCTCAGTTTCTTTTGGGGGGTTGCCCCCTCTTCGAATTTTTCCTCTGTCCCTCTCCCCTCAAATTGGGGTAGGTGGTCTTTTTATTCTGTTTTTGTTATTATTATTTTTACCTTTTTTTCCCCACTTTTTGTTCTTTTTTAACTCTTTTTATTTATTTGCACTTAACTTGGGGGGGCTGAGGGGCAGGAATTTTGGGGAAGGGTCACCTGGGGCAGGCTGGAAAAGCTGGGACACCTCCCTCCCCAAAAAAATGGGAAAAATCCTGAGAATTCTGGGGTTCCCCCCTGTTGCCTAAGGTGTGAAAAATGTGAAATAAAAAAATTATATTCTCAGCTTTTTTGGTGAGTTTTGGGGAGGGAGTTATGATTTTGGAGGGGTTTTGGGGGGTGGTCTCCCGGGTTTTGGGGTGGAATTTGGACGGAATTTGGGGGGTGGGGGGGACATTTG